AGAGAGAGAGAGAGAGAGAGAGAGAGAGAGAGAGAGAGAGAGAGAGAGAGAGAGACGATAACTCTCCGACCTCGCGGCTCCCGCCATGCTACTTCCATCGATAGGATGAGCAACAACATCCAATGAATCTTCAGCTAGAACATGGAAACATACACTACCTGGTTGAATCTTCGTCGCTCCGGCCAGCCACACTATCGGCCCTCTCCCCCCTCGCTCCACCCGACCGGCCCGCCGCACCTCCCAATGCCTCCCGACGGCTCTCTCTCTCTCTCTCTCTCTCTCTCTCTCTCTCTCTCTCTCTCTCTCTCTCTCTCTCTCTCCGTCGCGCGCGGATCTCACGATTTCGCCCCGTTTGGCCTACCTCCCCACGTGGCCCTCCCGAGCGTGGTACCACCGCCCTGTCCCCTCGTCCTTTCGGTACCGCCTTGCTCCAACGAATTTCCCGTGGGCGGATCTCACGATTTCAGCCCGTTCGGCCTGCCTCCCCGCGTTGGTCTCCCGACCTCGGTACCACCGCCCTGTCCCCGCCTCCTGTCGGTACCGCCCCGCTCCAGAATTTCGCTGGGCCCGCGATGGGGCATGTCGCCGGGCCCTCTCCATCCTTTAGTATGTATAGAGAAGAGAGAGTTGTCAAGCCCGTGAAAAGAGGTGTTTAAAAGATGAAAGATGAGATTGCCCCCCCCCCCCCCCCCCTTCCTCACCCCTCCTTAAACCCCCCTCTAACCTATTTACAACACAAGTGGGTATAATTCAGGCTCAAAGACGAGGACACAACCAGAAATGAATGTTGAAAAAAAAAAAAAAAAAAAAAAAAAAAAGAACAGGAACAAGACAGAAAAACTACCGAAGCACCAGTCTGAACCTGAAAAAATAAAGAGCCCACAAGTGGAGTCCCAGTGCCAGTCCCAGTCCCAGTGCCAGTCCCAGTCCCAGTCCCAGTCCCAGTCCCAGGTACCAGTACCAGTCCCAGTACCAGGTACCAGTCCCAGATACCAGTCCCAGTACCAGTCCCAGGTACCAGTCCCAGATACCAGTCCCAGTACCAGTCCCAGGTACCAGTCCCAGGTACCATTCCCAGGTACCAGTCCCAGATACCAGTACCAGCTACCAGTCCCAGATACCAGTCCCAGGTACCAGTACCAGTACCAGTACCAGTACCAGGGAAACCCTGAAAAATTTAAGCTCAGAAAAAAGTAAATAACCAGGAACAGAGGATGAGACCTTGAATTACGTGTGTGGACCAGGAACGAAAGTGCCCACAAAAAAAGTTAATTACCAGGATCCTATGTTACCAGAGTGGCCGAGGACCATCTGCCTGGCCGGGCCAAAATGAATTTGGAAAAAAAAAGTATTGCAAGGTATAGGGCAGAGTCATAATACCTTATTCCCACGAATAGAACACACGGTCATTTTATGATGATTATGGCCTGTATAGTAGTCGTAGTGTATACTGACTGACATGCGGTCTTTATACATGATCTATAATGACCGTATACAATGCATACATTCTATTCGGGCGAAGAAGACTGTAGGACTTTCCTGGATGCATCTGTAATCACTAATTACTAATTAATAATTATGTCTGCAATTAGGCTGGAACCTGGATGTATCATCAGGTTGGGACCTGGATGTATCATTAGGTTGGGACCTGGATGTATCATCAGGTTGGGACCTGGATGTATCTCTGACAGATTTGATTTTCAATTGCAGTGGGTTGACTCACTTTTGTATTGGGCTTTTTAGGAGCGAATCTGGCCGTGATTACCGTCAGATGCATGTACAAACTAGCATGTATAATTAGATTCAATTTTGTATCGCACTGTGAAGTGAACTGCGCTGTGCGCACCACACTGATCTTTGTTTTTTGGTGGATGCAATCTGTTTGTGGCTTTCTTTGTGCATCTCTGCAGCTCTCGTCGTGGTCGTTCACTTTTCCCGTCAATGCCGAAGCACTAGCAGCCCATCAGGTACGTGGACGCTTCTTTGTGCGTTGAAAGCTGTGTAGAAAATAGTATCACGGGGATAATCATGCTTACTTGCCATGTAAACACTGAGCAAAGAGGAACATGAACGGGCACAATTGTTGAGGTTAGATTCATCCTAGTTTGTGCATGCATCTGAGCGCAATTACGGGCAGATTCAGTCCACGCTTACTTGCCGGTAACCACTGAGCAAAGAGGAGCATGAACTGGCACAATTGTTGAGGTAACGGGCACAGTTGTGGAGGTTAGATTCATGCTAGTTTGTGCATGCATCTAACTTCAATTACGGCCAGATCCGGTCCAGATTCATGCTAGTTTGTGCATGCATCTAAGTTCAATTACGGCCAGATACGGTCCAAATAGTCTTGGTGTGAGTTTGTCCTGACACAGTCGCACAGGGATTTTTCATGGTAGCTTTTCACTCAAGGTTTTGTTGTTGTCTTTCAAACTTTTTTTTTTTTTTTTTTTTTTGGATCGAACTTTTTTATTATATCTTTATGTCACCTGACATCGTTTAGAAGAAGCGAACGGAACCCGCCCAGCCCACCCAGCGTGTTCGGAGTACTACAAACCATAGTTGCGGCGCACCAGTGCGCAGTGCGGGGCGGGGCGGGGCGGGGCGCACTGCGCTGTGCGCTGGAATGACAGCGCGCACACTGAGGGAGGTGCGCCCTGTGGGCGGGAAAAAAAAAAAATGCCCCAGCGCGTTTTTTTTGGACCTAAATTTTCCAATGCGGTGCGCTTCGGTGCGCTATGCGGTGCAGTGTGCTATGCGGTGCAGTGCGCAATGCGTGCGCAAATCGGCGCACCGAGGTGCGCCGCAACTATGTAACAAACGTAATTTATCTGCCAACGGGCCTACCGTCTTCACCCGAATAGAACACCTGGTCATTATAGCTGTATTTGGCACAAATTTCAGTCCAGATGCAGTGTAGCTCAGTTGATACACCCACGAAAGGTTGAACTTCAGACCTGAGTTCGAATCCAGATGGAACAAGAGGAATGCGAAAAAAAAAAAAAAAAAAAAAAGAAGTCTTGAAAAAAAAAAGTACTTATGAGAAAGTATGGAATTTATGTGCGTTTTTGCATTGCTATTTTTCTTATTTTTCTGGAGGTGTTTTTTTTTTCCTTGTGTGTGTACACGTGTGTGTGTGATTTGTGGATTATGGTGGCATTTGCAGACTGCCCCTCTGAAGCAGAAAAGGTTATTAATGTGGTTTGATGAAGATTGATCCCAAGATGAATAAAATAAAATAATTCTTAAAAAAGCTAGGCTACCAGCCGGGCTGCCCGGGTCGCCCTATTTTCCCGGGCAGCCTGCCCGTGCAAGGACTAGGGGCGGTCCTGGCGGAAAAAAAATAAAAAAAATCCAAAAACTCCGAAAAAAATTATGTTATGCAGAAAAATAAACTGAACAACTTTTGCCACAGGGTCACATCGAAATTCTTTACCAAATTTAAAATTAAAAAAAAAAAAAAAAAAGTTTTATTTTTTATTTCTCTTAGGCTCGGCCGGGCAAGTGGACCGGGGCCACTCTGGTAGCCTAGTAAAAAAGGAAATAACTTCAAATAAGTTTTTTATGAGCGGTTTTGCCCAGCTATTTTTCTGATTTCTCTCAGTTTTTTTTTTTTTTTTTTCCGTGTGTGATTTGTGAATTCTGGTGGCACCTGCAGACTGCCTCTCTGAAGCAGAAAAGGTTATTGATGTGCTTTGATGCCAAGATGAATAAAGTTAAACCGAATAATTCTTTAAAAAAGGAAGAAGCATTTATGTCCTGTTTTGCCCTGCTTTTTGCCTAGTTTCTCTCTGTTTTTTTTTTTTTTTTTTTTTTTTTTTTTTTTTTTTTTTTTTTTGGTGTGTGATTTGTGATTTCTGGTGGCATCTGCAGACTGCCTCTCTGAAGCAGAAAAGGTTATTGATGTGCTTTGATCCCAAGAAAGTGCCCACCTTTCGAGAAAAACTCCAGAAGTTGGTGGCGGAGGGCGAGTAAGCCACCGGAGCGGAGGTTGGCATGTCGCCGCTGCCAGCCAGAGGATGGATTAGTTTCCATCACAATTTTTACAGTTTTCGAGGGGCAATCCTGTGATTTGCTAGCGAGGGAAAATGGGCCGTGGGTGCAGCATGCCACAAAGGCAGCTATGCATGGGATTGATGGGGGCTGGGTGAGAGAGGGGGTCATGCACAGTGAGGGTTCAAAGGAGAGGGGGGTTAATGAGAGCAATGTTGAAGAGAGGGGTTAAAAAAGCGAGTGTGAAGAGGAGGGATCAAAAGAGAGGGGGACATCGGGGGAAGGAGGGGGGAGGGGTAGGGGGCATAAATGGGTGAGAGAGATGTTAGCAACGAGTAATAAAGGTCCAGGAGGAGTTTTGGCGTAGAATAGAATAGTGGTGTAGGTTGTGAAGGGAGAGAGGGGGGGGGAGGCGGGGGGCGGCGGGGGGGGTAAAAGAGGGGTTAAGAGCGCAAGAGGGGTCAAAAGGGAGGTGTTAATTTGAGGGGGGAAAAAGGAGACGGGGGTTAAAGAGATGGGTCGAATGCTGAGGGGGTTTGAAGGGCGAGGGGTATGGGGCTATCAAGGAAGGGGCTGGTCGTGTGAAACGACTATAAAAAAGCCGGCGATGGATATGCAGCACAAAGGGGAAGGGAGGGAGGGAGGGAGGGACAGGGGTAGAGTGGGGAAGAAGAAGAAGAGGGGTTGGAGGACAGGTGATGAAAAAAGTTTTTAAAAGTGGAACATATCTGGACTGCCGTCACGGAAAGAGTTGGTGGAAGTTGCTGCTTCTGTTTGGGTCGGGACGTACCCCATTGACGATCCCGTTGGTAGCCAAGGGGTTGTGTGTCCCATGTGTCCCGCAGTGATGTTTTCGGTGGAATCTAGCCGTCATTTTGGCTCAGGTTCGTCCTGGAAAGTCCCACACGTGCAAATGTTGGGAGCACGTCGCCTCAGCCACAGGATGAGAAAGATCAGTGTCTCTATGATGGCGTTGCAAAGAGTATCTGCAATATTGGGTGAGAGAGAGAGAGAGAGAGAGAGAGAGAGAGAGAGAGAGGATTGGAGAAGTGGAGGTGGAAACAGCCTAAGGGTGTACGAAAATGAGGACTTTCCTGAATGTATCTAGCCATAACGAAGACTAGATTCCGTCGAAAACGTTCCAGTGTGAGTATTCTGCTATGTCAAAAGGTAGGTTCGAGCCTGGCCACATCACCACATCTCTCTACCTCTTTCCTGAATGTATCTAGCCATAATGAAGACTTGCTACATTCCGCCGGTGTGAGTTTTTTTTTTGACAATCAATGCCTGTGGACTTGCCTCCCTGACAACGCGGATGTCGAAGGTTGGCCGGTTTGGATGTAGAGGTGGCGGGCGGCGTAGTTTTGCTCCGTGGCACGGGGATTGGGCACCATTTTTGTGGACAACAAGGCTTTGCTTTTTTCGCCTTTCCCCCCGCCGTTAAATTTGTGACTGTGTCCTTTCGGACATCCATTGAATTTGGAAATGATACAGAGTAGCTTAGCATGGCCCTTAAAAAGAAGGGGGGGGGGCGGGGGGCGGGGGGCGGGGGGCGGGATAATTGTGACTGTTCGTGTAGATGCATGCGGGGAATAGATAACAGGCAGGTGAGGCTGACAACCCATCATGCCTTGCCTGTTTGAGTGGAAAGCCAATGGGCAGAAAAATCAAATCTGAGTGGGGAAAAGAAAAACAGGCATGGTGAACCCATGGCTCGGTAGATTGACCAGAACACGCTGAAAAGCCAAAAGCCGCAAAAGGAAAAAAAAAAACCTTAAAAAAAAAGACACGACTTGTCGAGGTCCCTCTCAACGAACAATAAGATACGTAAAGGCAGCGATTTTTGGGATAAGGCTCGTTAGTGGATGTACACCCATGTGAACTGAACTGGGGTAATACAGACCTGAGTTCGAATCCAGTTATTGGAACGGGAGGAGTAAAACTGTAAAACCAATTTTTTTTTTTTTTCTGAATTGCCTGGGCCGGTCAGCTCAATGATGACATCACAAGGCCGTCGCCTTTGTTTTTTTTTGTCTTTTTTTTTTTTGAGGGGAAGGAAGAAGAATGGCAGCAATCACATGGTAATCGACTGTCAGGGGCCTCCGGAACATTGAGCATATGCACCCTCACATTTTCCGCCTGGGAACCGGTCGATGATTCTTTTTCGGAGTTTTCCTTTTTTTTTCTTTTTCTTTCTTTGTCGTTTTTGCCAAGGCTTGGATAATGAAAGGATTTAGTAAAAAATAAAAATAAAAAATAAAGAAAGAAAGAAAGCATCTAGTGTCGGATATGGGTGTCGCAATGAGCGCAACAGCCAATGAGGTTGGCGGGTTGATGCAGCAAAACAGCCGCACGTCATCTGTCTATTGTAATTGTTTTTTTTTTTTTTTTTTTTTTTTTTTTGTGGTCTATTGTAATTGTTGATGACTGGACAAAAATCAAGTTATTAATTTCTGATTTCTGTCAAGAAACGAGTCTTAAAGAGGAGGGGGCGGGGAGTGGGGGGCGAAGATGACAGAAATGCGGAGGATTAGGTAGGCATGCGGAGAATGCCATACGTCCACCTTGCACTGTGAATGGTTTGGGTTTGTTTCACACCAAGGGAGTGGGGGGGCGAAGATGACATAAATGCGGAGGATTAGGTAGGCATGCGGAGAATGCCATCCGCCCACCTTGCACTGTGAATGTTTTGGGTTTGTTTCACACCAAGACGCCGTTGTGAGGGCCAATCAGTTTTTAATAACTTTCTATCGATGTTAAATTGTCTATGGTTACGAGTCTTATGACATTGACGAGGGGGAAAAAGCTTTCTTGGTTTGTTTTCCAATGGCGACGCAACGCAACGCGCACTTCAGTGCATTTCTTTTTCCGCTTATTGTCGTGAATGGACTCTCGGTTCTTCGGCTGTTGGCTGGTAGGTGGTTTGGAGTGTCTGTGGAGGATGACAGCTGTCGATTAATTTGATATTCATTTTTATAAATTTATTTGAATGGTTGATTTGCGTTGTATTAACCAGCAGAGCTGCTTCTCTYTTTTTTTTTTTTTTTCTTCTCTTTTTTTTCTTATTTCTTATTAAAACTAGGCTATATTCTTCTCTCAGATCTTTCATCATCTTTCAAATTATTCCTTTTCAATTCACCTTCTCTACGTACCTACCCAGGACTGCTCCTAAGGCTTATTATTTAWACAGGGGACCCCTGCGAACATAGCTTTCTGTTGTCTCCCTCCAGCCATCGGACGGGGGGGATGCATGTGGCCGCCAGCCCCAACCGCGGTGGTCAAGGTGCTCTTCAGTTAGTGCAATCTTCAACATTTTGCTTGAAAAAAACTTTTAAAAAAATTAGAAAAAGTAAAAAAAAACACAGAAAAAAAGAAAGTGGCCGAACGATGTTCGTGGGGSCACATGCCGGAAATTGCACAGGGGCATTGGTGAGATTTGCACAGGGGCATTGATGAGATTTGAGGAGGTAGGCTGGAAAGATTGTACAGCGGGGGAAAAGAAAGGAAGGAGGRCTGCAGAGTGTACAGAGAATAGCTCCCCACCAATAGATGGAGCCCTCCCCAGGGCCGTGGTCCCACTAGCAAAGGGGTTAGGATAGAAATCCTGAATCTGGCTATGTTTCATGCAGAGATAGAGAAAAGCAGTTCGATCTCGATTTCCTGCTCCTGTCCTCGAACACATCCAGATTCAGGCATTCAATCCGATGCTCTTTGCTAATGGGACCGCGGCCCAGGTGCTAGCGGGATCTGCTCTTACCATTACCACTAGCACCGACGGGTGCGTTGTTTAAAAAATATATATATAATAATAATAATAAAATAATAAATAAATAAAAAGATACGTTGGGAAGGCTTATTACGAGAGCTATGTTACCAGAGTGGGCCGGGACCACCTGCCCTACTGTCTTCCCCCGAACATAACACACCTTTAAAATGAATGTACACAAACGCACCTTTAAAATGAATGTATACAAGTATTTCCGGCCAGATACAGCCAAAATGAGGGTGCATTGTGTTCGGGGGAAGACGGTAGGCGAGTCTCCCAGGGCTCACCTGCACAGTGCATCTCGTCCAGGCAAAAATCAGTCCTTTTTCCTTGTCTTTATTTTGGGGGGGTGGGGGTGAGGGTGGGGGGGTTCTGCGCATGCGCAGAGAAGCGCAAATCGGGTCTCCTTTCTCTCTTTGAGTGTTGGCTGTCAAGGGGTCGAGTGGTTTTCAAAGGGCTACAAGGGGGGGGTCTAGAAGGGGGTGCCTTAGTCTGACTCTGTTATTTTGTTTTTTTTATCTTCGTATCGGTGAGGAATGCTGATATGGCATTTCTACACAACATTTCCCAGAAAAAGAAAAAAGAAAAAAAGAAAAAAATTTACACAGCATTATCTTTTTCTGGATTTTTTATTTATTTTTTGTTGCAGCCCTTTTTTTTTTTTTTTTTGAAACACCCCTCCGTCAGTGATAGTGTTGCTGATAAAAGCAGACACCACTACCACCCGGGGAGAGACTCCATGTATTGGTGGGGAGCTTCACCTGCTGGAAAATGGGTCCAGCGTCCCATGAACATATTGAGCGGAATTACAGTGCCGTAAGGAGAGACTCCTGCCAGCATTGATTACCCTGGAAACCAGGGGATTGACTGAGCAGAAGGTACGGAGGGGGGGAGCCTCTTCACCTAGAATCCGGCGCCAGATGTCTACTGCTGTACTCTAGCTCCTCCCTCCCCCTACCTTCCCGTAGCTATGCTTCTTGAAACTGAGGAAGCAAATCGGAACATGCCTGTTTGTGTGAACTGTATTGGGGATTGACAGAACAGGAGGGTGGAGAAAGGGAAGGGGGGAAAAGGGAGGGGCGCCAGATCTTGCTGTTACTTGCTAGTTCCTCCCTTCCCCCACTAGCCCCTGTGATCTTCCATCCTATCTGTCTTGTTGACACCGCTCCTAGCTCCCTGCTGAGTCCCAACCGTACCACATGGTGTCCACCAGGCAGTTGGACAGGGGGGGGGGGAAATCTGGGAAATCATCCAGGGGTTTTAGAGGTATTGTGGGGTCCACTTTGGTCCAGTCGTTGAAGCACAATTGATAGTCCCTTGTAACCTTAGCCTCTTGTTGGATCCCCCTTGATGGTGTGGTTTCTGTGGGATCTCCCTTCCATTCCACCTTTCCAATCCTACCTCCGTTTGCATCCCCAAGCCAGTTTGAGTTGAAGTTCTGAATCTGTTTTCTGATGTCTCTTGGTTCTCTGTTTTGAGTTCATTCCGCCTGGCAGTTATTTCCGTCTGAATCTGTAGATGGATGCTCTCTGTGAATTCTGGGCCTTCTAGTCGTGCCCCCTCCATTTCGAACGTGCATCGCCGACGTCAGAGCGCCCAGAGAATCGCCCGCCGTCCCATCCTAAGCATGTTGTCAGTAAATTCGTTCGTTTGCGCAGTCAGATGCTTGGGCCAGGTTTCGCATAGTAGAGCCTTCCAATCCCATGGCCACTCGACATTTGTCTCAAGTTGATCCCACACTCTGTCCCACCATCTCCATAGCCAGAGTGCTCCAGGGCATTGGAGAAAAATGTGCTCGATTGTTTCTGGTTTTTTCCGGTGTCAACCGGTGGAAAGGGGTCTGCCGGCTCACTGTCCTATCCCTATACCTCGCGCCGTGTCTGTCACCCACGGGAGGGATGGCCGCGGCACCTGTAACCTGCTCATGCCAGGTTAGTCCACAACCACAATGCTGAAGGCTCAAGCAGACATCTCGCTCACACAATCCGACTCGATAGAAGAGGCATTAGGAAGAAACAGAATAACTTCTCATTTAATCCAACTCAATGGGGTCCTCAAAGTTGTTCCCAGGCCCAGAAGAGATCCCAGTGTCTGTGTGCGTGGGATCTGTCTGTGTGCCTATAGTTCTGGTCAACAACCTCCGCCTGATCCTTGTCGCTGATACCTTGCCCGTCTATCCCACGGAACTGTACTCGAACTCTCAGTATCAGAGGTCGCTTCTTGGGCCCATCGTGGCCATAGCTAGAGGTCGACTGTGACCATGCCCCCAAATCGCTGGTGCCCGGATCGTCCGATTAGGAATGCGCCCGTCCGAATGTGCCCCCTCGCGAATGTACCTTTTGGTCGTGCCTTTTCGAGAACGCACCCTTTGGGCGTGCCCTTTCGCGAAAGTACCCCTTGGTCGTGCCTTTTCGTGAAAGTACCCCTTGGTCGTGCTTTTTTGCGGAAGTACCTCTTGGTTGTGCCTTTTGTCGAAAGTACCTCTCCGGAAAGCCTGCTTCTCGAAGTCCCCGCTCGGTTAAAGAGTCCGCTCGGTAAAATGCTCGCTTGGTAAAGTGTGCGTTCGGTAAAACACCCCCCCCTCGGTAGAGTGCCCTTCTAGTAGAATGCCCCTCCGTTCGGAATAGTACCTGTTCGGATCGCGTCCCTTCGTGAAGCCCTGTTCATCATGCCTTCGATACGTACATCCAAAGTGTCTGTCCGTAACACTCCTTCACTCGCCCTTCCAAGGGAACCGCGCTCTGGTGTCCTCTCCTTCGGCTCGTGCGAATGGCCTCCTGCTCGACGGTTCTTACAGGGCGCTTGCATTCACTCGAGGAAGGGTAGCTTTTCGCTCGTTTGTTCCTTCAGTACGCTGGTGCTCGCCCATGCGAAGAGCTCCTAGTCTGTTCGTTCGCTGACGCTCGTTCGTGTGAGAGACTCGTAGCCCGTTCGTTCTTGCAGTACACGAGAGCTAGCCCATGCGAAGAACTCCTAGTCTGTTCGTTCGATGACACTCGTTCGTGTGAGAGGCTCGTAGCCCGTTCGTTCCTACAGTACACGAGAGCTAGCCCATGTAGAAGTTCTAGCTCATTCGCCCCCCCGCGGCGTGCTGTCTTACTCGTGTGAAAAGCCCCTCTTGGCAATGTCTCTCCTCACTAAGCTCGGCGCCTGGGGCTCACACGCGCGACCAACAGCTCCCGGCTCCGGCGACGACGACTGTGCATGTTCGCTCCCGTTTCGAAATTGCGCTTGTTCGCGTGGCTACTATCCCCCGTTCCCGTTGGGGCGCGTGTGCGTGTGAATAGACGACACGGCTCTCCCCTTATTCGCGTATGAGCGAGCGGGCACGGGCGGGGGTGCGCAGCTGCTCCCGCTATCTCCGCAAGTGTCCCAGGCGGGCGAGCAGCGTTGCGTTGCCTTTCGGCTATCCCCTGCAAGAGTCTGCTTGTGCGCGCAGCAGCGCACGGTTCCCCCCGTAGTCTTCCGCAGGTGTCCGCTGGTCAGGGTGTCTGTGCGCTATCACGCACTCGTGCGCACTTGTCTTCGCTGATTCGCAGATGTCAGTGCGCTGCCCCATGCTCGCGCACGCTGCTCTGTGGTGCGCAAGTGTCCGTGCGCCAGTTCGCTATTCGCGGCCCTTCCAGTGTGCGCTTTCTTCCCCGTTCGAATCCGCTGGTGCGCGGTGCGTGGTGACGCGCAGAAGCGCAAGATGAAGAGCGTGGCTTTCCCCGCCCTGATCTGCTAGTGCGCGGGGTCCGTACGAGCGTGCTCTCTTGTGAGCCCTCTCCCGTGGTACACTACACAATGCAGAACACGTGCGCGCGCGCCTCTCTATTCTCCATCTGGAGTGTCGTGTCATACCCACCCGTGTGCTAGTTCGTGCTCTCTACTGCTTCGCTGTGTGCGCTTCCGTACGCGGGTGCTTGCATGCGTGCGCTCTACCGTTCCGTTGCGCGCAAAGCAGCGTGGTGGTGCGTGATAGTGTGCACTCTCTACTAACTCGCCACGTGTGGCGTCGCGCGATGTCGCTCGCTTGTGCGCGCTTGGTTCGAATTGGGGTCTGTGCGCGGGTAGCGCGAGGTTGCTCACTCGAGCGCGCGCCCTTCCTTGGTGTGTCTTCCGCTAGTGTGCGCTCAAGCTCACACCTTGTGCGCGTTGCAGCTCGCTCCTTCCTCTCTCCCGTGCGCGTTTCAGTTCGCGCGTGTCGGGCTTTCCTCTCCCGTGTGTCCGCTGCCTGCTGTCAGAAGTGCTCCGCTCGTCCCCTCGAGAAGTTCGTCCGGCCATGTCTGCTCGTCCGTGCTCCTTCCCCATTCGTCTTACACGTGCGTCTCAATTCTCGTACCTCTCCCACCTGCATGCGAGAAGTCCCCCGTGTCTCGACCCCGTCGGTATCTTCTTCCCGCGCGCCTGCACCCTGTACGTGAGGTGTCCCCGGGCGCCTGTGCATCGCACGCGGGGAGTGTGCTCTCATCAATCCTCGTAAGAAGTCCCACTGCACCTGTTCTGAGCGCGAGAGGAGCGTTGTGCGTGCTCCAGTGCACGATCTGTCTCGTGCTCATGTCTCCCGTGCGCATGAGCCGTGCGCCCCCAATGATCGCATGCGAGAAGTTCCCCCGTTCGCGCACGTGCGAAGTCCCCTCGTCCGGAGCCCTGTTCGGCTTTTAAAGTCTGCAGGGCTCCTTTTCTCAGTCTCGTCGCTCCTTGGGCCTGCACCTGTGTTGCAGTGCCCCGGTACCGGACCTGTGCCCGGGTCTAATTGGGCCCCGGAAAGGTTTTTGTCGAGGGGGACCTTTTTGTCGGGAACCGGGCCTTTTGCAGCGCCCCGGTACCGGACCTATTTCCGAACCTGCCCCGGGCCTATCTCGG